ACTGCGCCGCGAAACTACAATTTTTCTCACTGGCCCATGACTTTTGTCGTAGTTTGTATTTTTTTGTTACAGAGATTAAGGGATGCAACGGGGATCGATTGATGAAGAATTGAATTCTCCATCACACCATCTGTGTTTCATTCCTTATAATTACTTAGCCAGCAAATGAAACACCTGAAAAACATTAAGAACATGTTGAGGACGAGGAGGGCATAAATTCGCCCCCAGGTACTTAGCCGCAATAGGTCACTAATTAGAAAAACGACCGCATTTACTCGATTGTACATCGTTAGTACATGATTGTACAGTGATTTTTTTTGTTTGTACACCCACCAATTAATTTAAAAAAATTAATGAAGTTTTGGCATGATTCTAGCCGACAAAAATTTCAAACTGTTCAATCAGCTCAAGTTAGGGGTCTATCTCAAAGGAAATCGTTTGTACATTACGAATTTGATATTATTATCGTTTGTACAATCATCATTTATTAGTTAAAGCTGCGGTAAGTAATCATTGTCAACCCCCCCCTCGCACAGCAGATCATTGGTAGTTCCTACGTTATCGACATTAATATTTACATACACTCTGGTCCGTTGTTTATATCGTTGTCCATATTATTATTCCATTATTTATCCCAATAAATGAACATTGAATGCTTCGAAGTTACAGTTTATTAAGCATCAATGGGTACATTCGTTTTTGTTTCGAGCACGGAGGAATACTTGTGTGCAGTGTTCTATCACCTTGCATTCTGACAGGTAGAAAGGGTTATGGTTGATTACAATCATTAGCAAAAAATTTACTAATGATTTGCACCAGGAGAAGGTCCGCCGATGTTGGCACATGCCGAGTGATTTCTCTCTTCGAGGGAGAAATTGGCAGTAAGTAAAATTGATTTTATTCCAAATTCAATCATTCATTCTCTTAATTTTTTTTACAGTCGATTCCTTGTAAAAATTTCGTATAAATAAATGACATTAAATTTCTCATGCGCAAATTTTATATTTTCATTCAGTTACTTTCATTTGATTGATTCATTTTCCCTTTTGGAAGGCAAAATTCAATTTCACCGTTTATTAGGGGAAACTTGAATAAAACCTCAGACAAAATTCGTTTTTTTTCCAAGACTTGATCAGTAATGGCTGAATACCTTGCTCCCAAAAAATAAAAAAATTCTCTTAGACTCATCTCCCCGGCACCCATCTCACTAGGAGATTTTTCCACCGGAAGGACCTTCTAATGAACATCATGATTCTTTCATTTTTATGAATCTTTCAGATCAGATTAAAGTCAGAAGACCGACGAAGATGATTCATAAACATGCCCAATTCTTCGCAGTCAGGCCGGAGATGTTGAAGTCTGGGTGGCTGAAAGATATTCCGGAGCACTTGCTGGGATTTGAGAAGCAGCTTGGAAGGCTGGAGATGTTCTTGTCCGCAAAAATACCATCTTGGAGGGCTCATCAGTCTTGACTGATGCTGTGGTCGATCCCAGGATGTTCCTCGTGCAAACCGATGAGTCCGAGGGACCGTCCTTTGGGACGATTTTTGGAGTTGTGGGGGCTCAGGGAAATTCATGTGGGGCTGTGGCTGGGGCTGGTGCTGAGTGAGGAGGGCAACTTGGCAGTCATCACGCAGGCGTTGAAGTGCTCAGCTGCTGTTGTCCAGGTGACACCGTATGGGAGGATGAAGGGGGAACTCGCTGGGAAGCTGAGGAGGCACTGCAGGTAGGTCATGGCCTGGAAAAACTCAATTAACTTTTTTTTTCTAGTAATTTTGAGGTTTTTTTTACAATTCTCCATGGAATTACGATTTTCATATACTTTCTACTCCACAAGGATCCAACAGACCGAGTAGTCGCCCTCTCCGTCTTCGAGGCCTCCGCCAATGTCGAGAATATGACTCCAGACGTTCTGGACATCCTCTTCAGAAAGTCTGACGATACAAACCTCTCGAAACGCCCCCATCACAAACCCCAAGCGATGGAGAAAACAATGAAGAGGTCAACTGCTTCGGTCTAGAGTCCTCTCTGAATGATCATGATAAATTTTCTGTAATTTATTTGAATTTATATTGATTACGAACTTCTCCAAGATTCTCTCTTGTACGTCTCAGTATTTATTCCGTTGACTTGAATTCAAACCTGATTTAAATATATCTTGGAATTCAGACGATTAAAAATAACAATATACAATTATTCCATCAGATTATCTGGACTCGTCGCATATGATCAGAAGTACGATCACTTCGTAGCCTATTGTCGTCGTCGTACTGGCAAATGGGAATGCCATAATGGACTACTCAGCAAAGTGCAACCTGTCAGAGGAAATCCAACAATTCGACCTGAATGCGCACTGTTTTTGATCAATCCAGATGAGTTGTAGTCTTCAGTCGTAATAATCAAGAAATTATTAGGAGGAATGAAAAAAAAAATCACTTTTTTCTGTATGATTACGAAAATGTATTTTAGCACATCAAGTAATTGAAAACTAATTTCTATTTGAAACTGTTATCTGTGAACAAATTCACATAGTTATAGACAAACTAGATTTAGTTATTGAAGCAGAGGCGTGTATGCAATCATTACGTGGTATAATTAGAGTGCAAATGTACAGTGTACGTGTTATACGTAAGAATAACATTTTTTATAACAATTATTGTCCGGTAGGATTATTTCTAATACGTGTACACAATCTTCCTAATGAATGACATCTATGATAATTATTCTTTTCAATTAATCAATGTTTTTTTCATGACTTATCATTTTAAAAAATGTTGCAGAGCTTTGGAGTAATAGTTCATGGAGTTTATTGCAAGATAAATTGATGATCGGGTTCACTTTACCTTAAGAATAATTGAAATATTAAAAACACATGGAATTTTCAATTCAATGTCAAAGATAGAAGCAAAGCATCAGTTCTAATAAACACTTTATTTCTCTCATATTTTGTGAAAAAAAAATGATAAAAGTAGAAATGTATTGTATCTCTCTAACAAATGACATAATTTTTGAGATTTGGAGAAGTTTCTCTCATCCAGGGCGCCTAGTTTCCCTTGTGATACCTCTCATTTAAGCCAGAAATTCGTTTATCCTGAAATTAAAAAAATATATTTTATAA